ATATCAGGACACACAGGCTGCCCTTATCAGGTGACATTCTACATGTATAATTTCACTGAATACTCAATTTTTTAAAAAAAATTTTTTGGTACCAGGGATCGAACTTGTGTCCTTGCACTTGCAAGGTAGGTGGCGGAACCACTGAGCTAAATCCACAGCCCTGAATACTCAATTTTAAGGGCAACTATAGTGACCACACATATAGGTAAGGAGACTGCAGCTAGAGGACAAGCAATGTCACACAGCCTGAAGTGGCAGAGGCAGGCCTTGAACCTAGGATTCTGTCTCGGAAGGTGGCAGGAGCAGATGACCAAAAGAATGTCCAGAATGATGCCTATGCCAACAGGAGATAAGAGAGGTCCTGGATACCTCTAGCCTGAGCTCTCCACTGCTCCCAACCCCTACTCCTTCCAGTGCCATCAGGGATCCTGCTGTCAGTCACAGAGCTGGTGGGTCATAATTCATGCCACACTGAAGCCTGCAGGATCCACACAGCGATGACAAGCGATCCCATAAAAGATGGGTGATTTACCAGGTTTAATTTGATGGCCATATAAACTATCAAACACACAACAAGGAAATAAAAAGGCCACCAGGCACCCAGACAATTAAAAGCTCTTCTGAGGCATGCTGTCTCCCTCCCCACCCCTGTCAACCCTGTTCCCAGAGCCAGAGGGCTCAGCCTCAGGCTGGCCTTGGGGAAGGGGTAGCAGGAGAGGCACTGGCCAAGACAGATGAGCCAGCAGACAGGGGAACGGGAAGGCCTTGGGTCCCTGCCTCCCAAATGCTTCTCTGTTATTCATTAAGCATCTTTGAAAGGTGCAATTTAGACTCTATTATGATGCTCGCCTCTGGAGGCTGGGGACTGGCTGTGAGCTGAGCGGGCACTGGCAACAGATGTCCATGCCACAGTGTGGTGGCTGGCCTTGGCTTGGCCTTAACAAGTCTGGCCCCTGCTCAGGGCATACCCTGGAACAGCTAAGGCCAGAGGCCACTGTGTCCCTCATGCCGGGATGCAGAGCTGAAAGGCCAGAGGAATGTGTGTCCTCTGGTCAGATGCTGGGCCTAGGCAGAGGTATTCCTGTGCTCAGACCTGACCCCAGAGACCAAGGCCTTAGAGCAGACATGGGCCTCCCCTGGTTCATCTGCATTCTTCATGAGCCACTTGAGACAGGACCTCCAGGCTCTGTGACCTTCACGGTCCTGGCTCTGCACAGAAGGGAGAGCTGTGCAGCCAGGAGTCTGGGCTGGCTGTGACCTTGCAAGGGCCCTCACCTCTCTGAACCTCAGGGACAAGGACCTGAGATATGACAGACAACTGCCTGTGAAGAGCGAGTGGGTGAGCCCTCGACTGAGGTTCTCCCCAGAGCCTGGGTTTATCCCTGTCCTCTGAAGGCCCGAGTGTGTCTGCATGCTGCCCTCTGCTCACTTCAAACCTGTCCTCCCACAGACTCCCAAGGTGGCAAGAGGTGAGGTGATCGGGTAAGGGCTGGGGAGCCTGCGACACCCACACCTGCTTCCACTCTGCTCGGATCACGGGCAAAGCAGGCAGAGGCTCATGGAGAGCAGCACTGCTGTGAGGATGGGAGAGCCCTCGGCCCAGCCCCATGGTCATGCCCAGGCAGGCTGGGGTAAATCCATGCTCCACCACCTCAGGACCAGGGCAGGTCTCTCTGTGCTTCAGTTCCCTCATCTACAGAATGGGTCAATAACAGTTTCTTTGAAATATTTAGCAAACATCTGCTATGTACCATACTGGTGGGGTAGGCCCAGTGGAGAAGACACCTCCAAACCTATGGCTTTATACTGCTTGCCTTTTTTTCTTTTGTGGTACTGGGGATTAAATCCAGGGACAGTCTACCACTGAGCTACATTATAACATTTTTTACTTTATTTATTTTTTTGTACAAGGGATTGAACTCGGGACTGTGTGCTTGCGAGGCAGGCAGCAGAACCACTGAACCAAATCCCCGGCCCTTTACTTTATATTTTGAGACAGGGGGGCATCACTGAGTTGCCCAGGCTGGCCTTGAACTTGTGATCCTCTTGCCTCAGCCTCCCAAGTAGCTGGAATTACATGTGTACACTACCACACCCTGCTTCAGACAATTTTTCTTTTTTTTAAGTCAAGCAGCGCAGCAGTTGGTGGTAAACACTATACTGACAGAAGCAGTGTTCTGGGGTCAAGGTTTTAGATAGCATGGTCAGGGAAGGCCTCACTGCAGGTGGGAAGGCAGTGAGAGATGAGCCCCAGGCAGAGGGCCCTGGGGTAGCAGGATGTGCCTGGCTACTGTGATAAGGGAGGAGCACAGTGGACAGGGCCACTGGGGTGCTGCAGCAGATACCATGGGGCCTTGACAGCTACCATGATGGTTGTGGAGGGCTCTGGACAGAGGAGTAATATGAAGACTTTACCAGGTGACTCTGGATGCCCAGGAGAGGAAGAAGAACTGGAAAATGTGTTAAAAGGCTCAGGGATGGAGGCAAGAGAGCCAAGAAGCCCTATTGGGGCCAGCTGGGGTACCAGGGGCTCAGACAGGCCTCACCAAGAAACTAAGCCAACAGCCAAATCCTGGGGCCAGGTGTGGAGCAGTTTCCGGTGTACCACAGAACCCAGGCCCAGGGAAGGTGCTCTGGGCCTGCAGATGTGGGGTGGGTGGGTCATGACCCAGGACCTGGGCTGGGAGTAGAAAGGAGCAGGCAAGTGTCCTCAGCCCTAGGCCAGCCAGCATTGGCAGGAGGGGCCCGAGCATCGGGAAAAGCTCATCCACCCTCCTTTCTCCCAGCTCCCTGACTTCTGCTCTCCTTGAGAGGCATCCCATCCTCCAGTGAATGAGCAGGCTGGGTGCCTCCCAGCCCTCACTTGGTTCTAGCTGGGGTGGCAGGGACTTGTCCTCAACCTGCCCTGGGACCATCTCATGGACACCAGGTCACCAGGGCCTAAATGAGGTCCATATGTTGTGGTGGGCAAATGTAGGGCTCTAGGAGGCCTTGGAGGTGCTGGGCCACAGAAAAACAAGAGAAGCCGAAAGCAGAAAGGTCCTTTCTGTCCTCAGGTGTCACTAATGCCTCACCACACTAGACTCATGCAGCCCACAGTACCCATCCTTAAGCACCTGCAATTTAGTCAGGGATATTAAAATCCAGTCACCCATCAGTGTGGAGATATTAAAATCCAGTCACTCCACTGCCTGTGGAGAGCCTTAAGCTGGTGGTGGCCAAGACTCTGGCTTGTGCCCCAGACAGGATGGCTTCCTCTTCATCACTTCTCAAGGGGCCATGGAGGCCTTGGAGAAGACACCTCCAAACCTATGCCCTTATACCGTCACCCAGCTGTATATAGTGTTACCCAGCTGTAGTTTTCTCATCTGTTACATGGAACGAGAGGGGCACCAATCCCATGCTGGCTGAAGAGTTAAATGACTTACATATTCAAAAAGCTCTAAGAAAGGCTTTATTATAATTTGAACAACCATCCCACTAAAATGGGATCCCAGGGGCTGGTACATGCTGGATGCTCAATAAAGATCTGTTGGATGGATGGAGGAACAGACAGATACATGGATAGGTAGATGGTTGGTTGGGTGGGTGGATGGATGAATGGATGGTGGATGGATAGGTGGGAGCACAGATGGATAGTGGTTGGATAGTTAGTTGGGTGGGTAGATGCACGGATGAACCAATGGACACACTGATGCATGGATGAGTAGGTGGATAGAGCAGAGGAAGCTCTATCTGGGGGATCTGGAAAACCTGGCAGAGGAGGGGACATTTGAACAGGGTCCTGAAGGGTGAAGAGGAGTTTGCTCGCTGGAGAGGAAAAGCCCAGGAATAGAGGACAGAGAAGGGAGAGCAGTTAGGCATGGTTGAGAAATGGAGGTGCTCAGTTACCAAGCCATAAGTGTAAGGTCCCCATGGGCTCATGCAGTGGGGGCTCCACTCCGCACTCCAGGATTGCCCTCCCAGGCTACAGCCTCCCCTTGGTCCAAGAGGCCATCATGTCCCACCACCGAAGCCTTTGTGGCCCCACCTTTACAGCAGACCTTTGCCGGCTGCATGAAGACACCTTCCCTACTGAGACTGAAAGATAATTTATTTTCATTGATTTTTTTTACCATTATGAACATTAAAATAATATGAGAAAAATCTATCTTGCAATTTTTCTATTTGTGAAAACTGAAATTACACCTTGCAGATAATTCCCTCAGAGCACAGAAAACACCTCCCTCCTTTCATTTGTCTCATTTCTTTAAATGCAACAAAGCTGATATACATATACATATATATATATACATATACATACATATATATATATACACATATTTCTGCAATTGCTGGAAGTTTCATGGTTTGGGAGGGGAGCAAGGTGCTGAATGGTTTCCCACACAGCATGGTACATTGAGCTAGGAAAGGCACCTCTGATACAAAGCAGTTTCTGTAGACACACAAGAAAGCAGCTCTGTTGACACCTCCTTCTGTTTGTAAAATGTATGAGTGACAAACAGGCAGTGGCGTTTTACCACCAGACAATGAAGCCCCGTGCTCTCCACTGCTCACCAGTGGCGATGCTGGCAGCTCCCTTCTGGGAAGTTCCAGCAATACCCCTTTGCTGAGCTCCCATGCTTTCCAGAACCAAGTTTTCCCTTCAGACCGGGGTCTGTTCCAGAGAGCGATGTGTGTTCCCTGTTCCATTGAGAAACTGGCTCTGAGTCCATAAAATGTGCCCTAAATCCATCCCATCAACATTGACCAGCGCCTCTAGGATAAGCCATAAAGACTGGCTTAGAGGTGGAGTTTTGGAAGGAATAGCTCAAATCGAAGCCTGGCAGGCACTAAATTCACCTCCCCAGGCACCAATCCCACCCGGGAAGATGGACAGGGCTTCACTCCTGATAACATTTAACTTCGAGGCATGAAGAGCCAGGTGCCACTGGAGTCGGACCTCAGTGGGCTGCTGTCCCTGACTCACCCTCACCGTACCTGTCTTGTGCTCCTTGCAGGTGTTGAGGCTCTACATCGGGTGGGGTCAGGCTCCCCCAACTGTCCACCATGGTGGTGGCACACCCCACTGCCGCTGCTACCACCACGCCCACCACGACTGTCACAGCCACTGTCGTGATGACCACGGCCACCATGGACCTGCGGGACTGGCTGTTCCTCTGCTATGGGCTCATCGCCTTCCTGACAGAAGTCATTGACAGCACCACATGCCCCTCAGTGTGCCGCTGCGACAACGGCTTCATCTACTGCAATGACCGGGGGCTCACCTCCATCCCCACAGACATCCCCGACGATGCCACCACCCTCTACCTGCAGAACAATCAGATCAACAATGCTGGCATCCCCCAGGACCTCAAGACCAAGGTCAATGTGCAGGTCATCTACCTGTATGAGAATGACCTGGACGAGTTCCCCATCAACCTGCCACGTTCCCTGCGGGAGCTGCACCTTCAGGACAACAATGTGCGCACCATCGCCAGGGACTCGCTGGCCCGAATCCCACTGCTGGAGAAGCTGCACTTGGATGACAACTCTGTGTCCACCGTGAGCATCGAGGAGGACGCCTTCGCTGACAGTAAACAGCTCAAGCTGCTCTTCCTGAGCCGCAACCACTTGAGCAGCATCCCCCCAGGGCTGCCACACACGCTGGAGGAGCTGCGGCTGGACGACAACCGCATCTCCACCATCCCACTGCATGCCTTCAAGGGCCTGCACAGCCTGCGGCGCCTGGTGCTGGATGGCAATCTGCTGGCCAACCAGCGCATCGCCGACGACACCTTCAGCCGCCTGCAGAATCTCACAGAGCTCTCGCTGGTTCGCAACTCTCTGGCTGCCCCACCCCTCAACCTGCCCAGTGCTCACCTGCAGAAGCTGTACCTGCAAGACAACGTCATCAGCCACATCCCCTACAACACGCTGGCCAAGATGCGTGAGCTGGAGCGGCTGGACCTGTCCAACAACAACCTCACCACACTGCCCCGTGGCCTGTTTGATGACCTGGGCAACCTGGCACAGCTGCTGCTCAGGAACAACCCCTGGTTCTGCGGCTGCAACCTCATGTGGCTGCGGGACTGGGTGAAGGCACGGGCGGCCGTGGTCAACGTGCGGGGCCTTATGTGCCAGGGCCCTGAGAAGGTCCGGGGCATGGCCATCAAGGACATCACCAGTGAGATGGATGAGTGCTTTGAGACAGGGTCGCAGGGTGGTGCAGCCAATGCGGCTGCCAAGACCACAGCCAGCAACCATGCTGCAGCCACCACGCCCCAGGGCTCACTGTTCACCCTCAAGGCCAAGAGACCTGGGCTGCGCCTCCCTGACTCCAACATTGACTACCCCATGGCCACAGGCGATGGCGCCAAGACCCTGGTCATCCAGGTGAAGCCCCTGACAGCAGACTCCATCCGCATCACATGGAAGGCAACACTCCCTGCCTCCTCCTTCCGGCTCAGCTGGCTACGCCTGGGCCACAGCCCTGCAGTGGGCTCCATCACAGAGACCCTGGTGCAGGGGGACAAGACAGAGTACTTGCTCACGGCCCTGGAACCCAAGTCCACCTACATAATCTGCATGGTTACCATGGAGACTGGCAACACCTATGTGGCCGATGAGACACCTGTGTGTGCCAAGGCAGAGACAGCTGATAGCTATGGCCCTACCACCACACTCAACCAGGAGCAGAACGCCGGCCCCATGGTGGGGCTGCCCCTGGCAGGCATCATCAGTGGTGCCGTGGCTCTCGTCTTCCTCTTCCTGGTCCTGGGGGCCATCTGCTGGTATGTGCACAGGGCTGGTGAGCTGCTGACCCAGGAGAGGGCCTACAACCGGGGCAGCAGGAAAAAGGACGACTATATGGAGTCGGGGACCAAGAAGGATAACTCTATCCTGGAGATCCATGGCCCTGGGCTGCAGATGCTGCCCATCAACCCATACCACGCCAAAGAGGAGTACGTGGTCCACACCATCTTCCCCTCCAATGGCAGCAGTCTCTGCAAGGGCACACACACCATCGGCTACGGCACCACACGAGGCTATCGGGATGGGGGCATCCCTGACATCGACTACTCCTACACATGATGCCGGCCCACCCAACCCCAGCCCCTGGCCGCCATCCCGAGTGGTTCCTGGCTCTGCCCAGCCCACTATGATCCCAGAGAGCAAGGAAGAGAAACTAATTCTGCAGTGACTCTCCCAGCAGAAAGCAAAGTTTGAGAAAGGGTGATGATTTGCTAGAACACACCAGTGGGGGGGGGGCTTTTTAAATGAATAGAAGGCAGAAGGGGAAGGGGAATCCAATATTATTGGAGACATAATTTATTCCAAATTATGCCAATTGGGGAGGGAAGAACAAAAATAATACTGAAGGAAGGGTTGGGTTGGGGATTTTTTTTCCTGAACTGGAAAGATACTACCTGTACAACGTCTGTGTACAACGCGCACTCTGTTCAGGGCTGTCACAAAAGAACCGTCAGAAGCCAAGAGAAGCCACCGACACGCAGGCCCCCCACCCAGCATCCTGCTGCCCAGCTGCTCACAGGCAATGATTCGATGGAAGGTTTTCAGGCACCTCACAAAGGAGAGAGGCAAAGAAAAGATCTTTTGCTATGGAGATATTGTCCTGAAATCTCTTCCCTGGCTCTTTCCATGCCATTCCCCTGACAGATTTGCAGAAGAGAGAGTCTTTCACTGCATTCTTGGAACAATTAATGTAGTCAATTAAAAAGAAAAAAAAATTGAACTTTTTTCTTCCTATGCTGAGTGCTCTCCAGTTCCATGCACCATCCTCTGTAGAAGCCCTGATGGAAGCCGTAGCTTTCCCTGCCACGTGGAGGTGAATCTGTCTGCCTGTCTGTCTCTAAGTCCTGTCTCTCAGTGCAGATGGCTAGATAGAGACAGGTACACCATCCTTACAGCACTTCTTGGGTCAGTTCTTACCATTTCCTGAGACAATAGAATTGCAAAAAAATGTTGCTTTCTTCTAGAAATCATTGAGTAAGTAAAGTAGCCCATGTGTCAGGGGTGGGAATGAGGTGGAGGGAGGAGGTGTGGTCTGGGTGGGGGGTGTTGCTGTTGCTAGAGGCAGAGGCCTGTATGTCTCGGCAGGGTGGCTCAGGGAGGGCCCGTAAGGGTGCCCAGCTGGCAAGAGCTGGGCCGTTGTCCTTTCTTTCTTGCTTTTTTTTGGGGGGGGTACCGGGGATTGAACTCAGGTCCTTCCACTTGCGAGGCAGGCGGCGGAACCACTGAGCTAAATCCCTAGCCCCCGTTGTCCTTTCTGACACAGAGAAAAGCTTTCTTTTGACACCAACAGCCCTCATTCTTCTCCCCTCAACAGATGCAATCACCTCAATTGGGTTTACTCGTGCTTCCTCCTGGATATGTAATTAGTGCAGGGACTTTTTTTTATATACATATATATGTATCAGCTGATTAGACCTTTTGGTTTCCATGGCTGCTCAAACAAAGCCCAGAAAAAGAAAATTTTCAGAAAATCCCTGAGAGACATCAGCCCTCACACACACACCTGTGTAGAAAACAGCTGCGCCTGCTCCTGAGAGGAGAGACCAGATCTCTTTCTAAAAATGCCAGCTTCCAAAAGGGTTCTGACTGGGGCCCTCAGAAGAGCTAAAATTTTATTTCCTCCCTCTGGAATCAATGTCGCTATCATTTATCAACTGACAGTGCAGTGTGGCGAGCCATGAGATTAAAACGATGATGAAATAATGACAACAGATCTGGAGAGGAGGAAAGCGTGGTGCCCAGGGTTCCGATGGCTGCTGCATCCTGTACTCGGGGAGCTGGGGTCACCATCTGTCAATGTGTCTCTTGCCCCACACCAGGAAAAGACGACATCAAAGCAGAGGCGCTGCTCCGAGGGCAAGAGGATGAGAAGGTCGGCTCCTGACAGTGGTGTTTTTAAAAAGCCTCTGCTACTTGGACCAAAGCAAAGGCAAGAAGAAGAGGCTGGGCAGTGATCACAGGGCTGCCCACGACATGCCCGAGCACTGTCTGCCTATTGGACATTCAAAGAGCCAACTGGCCCTTCAGCGAAGAGGTGGATTGAAAGCAATGTTCCTGCTGCTGCTTGCTGCTCGGGAGAAGTGGAGAGAGGTGCAGGCTCCCACTGCAGGCCAAGAATCATCACCACCAAAGGGGACTCCTGTCCTCCAGCCCCAGGACATGCCCAGGGGGCATGGACACTGTTCATTCCAAACGACCTTTTCCCCTTCTCCTGCCCGGATCATTTTCCCACACAATGAGGTCCAGAGAGAAACTTTCCCAAGGCTTAATTTCAGGTCTGTATCAACGCCGCCCGACCCCCACCCCCACCCTAACCGCAGCACCATCCCTCACAGCTCGGAAAGGAAGAGGGGACCCCATATACCAGGGAGATCTGGGTGAAGGACACAAGGTGGGGGGCGTTGGTCGGGGGACAGAAGTCCCAGCCCTCTGCTGTTTCTGAAGTGAGGTACTCTCCTTTGAGGGGGCCACTCTGGCCTACTTCAGGTTCCAGGAAAGTCGGCCCAGCTTTCCCTCTGCCTCAAGGCATCTTGCCTGCATCCACAACACAGTACTGCCAGCATGCTCTGACTCCTAGCTCACGGGGTCCCCTTTCTCATTTCCTGCCCCAGTGAGGGTCAAGCCATCCCTTTGGTGGCTAGCAAGGAATTTAGGGGCATCTGGTGGCCTGGACCCTGACAGTGGCTTGAGTAGCACATTTTCCGCCCCTATCACACAGCAGGCCCAGGCCCACAAGGGCCCTGCCAATGCCTGGGAACAGTGCCCAGGCTAAGGACCTGATTGGTCCCCTGCATGGGCTTCTTGCACTAACAGGGCTTAGCCCAACTTATTTAGGGCTGCAGAGCCCAGGGCCTGCCCTTTCCTCATGGGCACTAAATTCTGGGGAAGGTGAGTACTCTGCCAGCCAAGGAGACACAGGGACATGGGCCCCTCTGGAAGCCCTTCTTGTCTTTTCTGCCCCTCAGCACTCCGACATTTCCTAGTGTCCTTCCTGAGAGCAAGCCTCCAAAATCTGCTTCAAGGTGGCCCCCAAGCCAGGCCCCCTCTGAAACCTCATCCCCTCCTGGTCCAGCTCCTCCAAGCTGGCCTCTTAACACAAGATGGAGGAAGTTTGGGGCACCCAGCCTCCCCCGCCTCTTAGAAGTGTGCAGAGCCACCAGGCCAGCAACAATACCCCCAGGCTCTATTAAAACCTCCCTCTGTGTGTGAGGATGCTCCCACTCAAAAGTCCTCTACCAACCTGACCCTCACGGGCTCTAACCAGCCAGAACCTCCCTCTGCAGGCACGGATCAACCTGAGTGTGATGAGTGTACTTTGTGGCATTTGAGGCAGGTTTAAAGTTTTAAAAAAGAAAAAAAAAGGCCCATGACACCTCTTTGGTTAAGTGGTTTACCCTTCGTGGTAATTAGATGTAGCGATTGGATTGGAATCTCTTTTCTATTACATGGCAATTTTCCTTTAAATTTCCTCTAAAAAAAAAAAGGAAAGAAAGAAAAGGCAAAGAAGGAGAGAGAAGGCAGCAGGGCTGTGTGTCATTTGCATTTTGAGAATGAGGCCTCTTATAAGCTCAGCTCAGGCGTGGGGCCCAACGTATGGAATGCTTAAGAGATTACTAAGAATAAAATCTATTAATTAGTCATACTCAATTCCACAGACATGATGTGCATCAAAAGCTCCTTTTCTTCCCTTTTCTGCTTTCCCTTTCCCGAAGGAAGCCTCCATCTTCACGAAATGGGCTCCATTTCCTGGCCTGCCTCCACATTAACATGTTACCCACCCCCCACCCCCAGGGCTGGGTGCCGGGTTTGAGGGCAGGAGCCGGGGCAGTGCTCCTTCCCTGCTCTGGCTGATGCTGGAAGGGGAGGTGGCAGCCCCCGGGGAAGATGGCAGTGGCTGGGAGAGGCCAGCCTTCCTTCATAGAAGCCCCTGTCTACTCAGAGGGCTCCTCCTCCCTCTGCAGGCACCATCTTTCCAACAAGGGTGAGAGGGAGTCAGGGAGTGTGTGTGGCTTTCTGGCAAATACAGGCTTCTGTTTCCCCTTCTGTAAAGCAGGAGTGCCTGGGGAGGCTCTAGTTTCACTCTTTAAGAAAGCTGGGTGCTTCAGAGACCGAGGGGGCCTCCCCTCCCCTGATTCTGGAGGGTTCCAGCTGGCCCATAGCAGGTGGAGGAATCCTTGCAGGGCTGAGGGGCACTGAGCCTAGGCCAGCCTCTGCCTGAGCTTCCTCCACCACTGGCCAGGAAGGAAGGAGCAAAAGTCTGAGGTACACTCAGGACAGCATCCCACCCCAGCCCCCAACGAGTGGCAGCTCAAGTCCCAAAGCCAACCCACTCCAGAAATCTGCTTCCTGTCTAGCATGCCAGGGAGGAGAACAGGGCTTCTGAGCCTCTCGCTTATGAAAAATACAACAAGAAAAATTGGATGCAGCAGACAGGGAGTGATGGGGCTGTAAGGAAACCAGGGAGAGCTGGGGCAGGAAGGTGGGGCTCAGGCACGGTGCAGTGGCCTGTGCCCCCAAGGGCCAGACTATGCTGTCAAGAGCCAGACGAAGGCCATGGCCAGGGCGACCTATAGGAGCCCCATGCACCATGTCCTCTGTTCATACTGAAATCAGTGCAGGTGAAGGTAGCTGAAGCTGCGCGCACTGGATGGGCGCCAGGTTGAGCGCTAACAAGCAATTCACAGGCCTTCCAGAATGCAGAAAGAGAAGGCATTTTTTTTCTTAAGGAGGGATAAAAAGGCTCAAAAATGCAAATCATTACCGTTTACAACCAAGTAAGTCTGCTAAATTGATTAGGAGCGATTAAACTCCTCAGAGGTGAAGGGAAGGGGGTTTCTTGTGGTCTATAAACCTGCCCCAAGTGGCCGTCCACACAGCAGGGGTTTTCCAGGCCTTGCTGGGATGGGTCGCCTGTCCCGCTCCTCCCCCTGGGGAACAGGGGTCTCTGAAGGCTGACATCAGGTGGGCCAGGGCACTGGGGCTGAGCCCTGCTGGGGGAGGGGAGAGGAGCAGTCTGGCTCCAGCCAGGGGCCTCGTGCTCAGGCCTCTGGGCCAGGCAGGGCTGCTGTGGCCCACATGGGTAACAAGGCACTGTCCCAGGCTCCAGGAAGAGACTCTGGCCCTGCCCTCCAGATTCCATCTGCCTTCAGGGTTGACAAGCCACACCTGGTTCACTACCATCACCTACGAACCTATGGCACATGTGGCACAGCCGGCTCTTTGTTATCACTGAAAGCTCTAAAAGTTCCTCCATCACTGAGAGAGTATGATACCTGTTGTGGGATCTGCTCCCTGTGCCAGGGAAAAGGTTAGCTCAAGTGTGAAGAGAAAGTGAAGACAGGAAAGAGAAACCCTGGCCCATCAAAGGAAGCAAAGCAGCGAGCCCCCCCATCACTGGGAGCATTTGAGCACTAGATGGGGATATGAAAGATACTTTCCTGCCTAAGCCAAGGTTTGTATGGCTCTGACTAAAAGATCCTGGTTCTCGCCTTTGGCTTCTCACCGCCCCCCTCCTGCCCCGCTTCCCCAGGAGAGGTGGTAGAGCCACACACTACCCCTTCTCCAGGGTGAGCTCAGGGAGTGGGGGGGGCTGACAGTCCTGCACCTCCACACCCCAGGTTGCCTTCGGCCTGTTCCCTTGAGCCTGGTCTGGCCACGGCTGCAACTAAACATGCAGGACAGCACCGATCCGTCCATCATGGCCAGCTGACAGTGCCTGGGGCACTGTTCACTCTGCTGTTTTCAAGCATTTACCAATTCTTTTGAAATGTTCCACGAAGTTGCCTGAAATATCTACACTGGCTTCTTTTTAAAAACTGACAAAAAGATTACTTTTGCTCCCGCCCTGTCTCTGCTGTCCCTCCCTTGGCTTTTTTTTTTTTTTTTTTTGGTACCAGGGATCAAAATTGGGACTTTGCGCTTGGAAAGCAGGCAGTGGGACCACTGAGCTAAATTCCTGGCTCCCTTGGCTTTTTATATGCTGTTTCTCTGCTTTGGAAAATCCTACTGTCTTCATCCTATGTGGGAAGGCAGTGTGCCCAGAGATCCTGGTGCCACAGAGGCACAGTCCTGCCACTGCCCCTTTCCCCTGGAGATAGCACACCCTGGGCTCTGTGAGGCCATATCGCTCCTCTCTTCCCCTTGTCACTGAAGTACCCAGCTTGTGCCAGGAGGAGGCACTGGGGGCATTGTGTGCCCAGTGCCTAGGCTGACCCTTTACTTTCTAATAAGGCCAGCCCCCAAGGCACTGAAGCCATGTGGCAGTCAGTGTGGCCTAGCCCTGGCCCTGGCCATCCATCCCAGAGAGTCCTTACAGGAAGGTCTTTGCCACTACCAGCCCCATATCTCTTTTATGGTCGTCAAGGGATGGTCGCTCAGGAGAGATACCAGGTCCCCACACTCAGTGGACCCCACGAAATCAGCACCTGCCTCGCCAGGATCACTGAGGTCCAGCACAACACCTGGCGCATGGGGGTGCAGAGTCCTTTCTTCCCCAGTGAAATGAGCCACCACCTCCTCTTCATCCTCCTCATCCTCACCACCTGCCTTTTGCCCACTGAGCTCCCTGCAAGTGGCCTGAGTGTTGGCAACCAGCAGCTTCTCGTCCTACACCCACCATGCAGGCGGCCTGACACAGAGGGGGCTGTCTGGGCACCTTGCCCTTTTGGAAGCATCCAGCTCCACTTACACCCACTGTGAGCCTGATGGGGAGGAACTGATTGGGTGAGACCCCACAGCTGGCCTCAGCTCAAATGTGTGCCTCAGTTTTCCCTCTCCAAGTCTTGCCTCCGGTGAGTGCGGGGAGCCAGAGAACTGGAAGACAGCCCCAGAGGCCGTCAGGAAGGAGGATCCCAAGTGACACCCGCCTTGCCTGACATTCTACCGAGTCCACACACCGAGCCACCTGCAGGAACTGATCAGGCTCCCTCCTCAAGAGAAACAAACACACTGTGAAATGACAATCAATGTAGCAGTGTTCCAGGCCACCCCTCCGGTGGCAGTCGGAGAGCCAAAGGTTCTGGGCACAAAGGGGAAAGACACACACATCTGTGAGAGTAGCCTTAGATTCCCCCCAACTCAGCACCACCACCTGCCAGTGGCCTCAGCTGAGAAGCCCACCCTGGTGTCCCGGGCAGAGTTGGGGGATGAGGGCCCTGTGTCTTCCAACTCACAGAGGGAGGCAGCCATGGGGAGGAAGCCACAGGCCTGGCGTTGGGGCCTTATCTGTCACCTGAGAGGGAGAAGCCAGGAGACATCAGGAGTGAAGGCTATGGCAGGGGCTGGGCAGGCCAGCCAGGGGACAGTTTGCTGTGTGAGTCTGCTGGCTGGGGCCACCAGACAGGTGTGAACAGAGAGCCCAATGGTGAACACCCCGTAGGAGAACCCAGCTCCAAAAAGCGCTGCAGAGTGAATGCTCCACCAGCCACCAACCAGAGCTCCCTCCCGGATGTTCAAACACAATTTGGAGTCATTTGTCTCATGAAGCATCCTGGGGTGCATGCTCAGTGTGACTCCCTTCCCAGCAACCTGTGAGGGGGAGGAAGAGGCAGGCCGGCTTCTTGGCCAGACTGTAGGAATGGGGTAGTTCTGCTGCAGCAGATGGGATGCCAGGTCAGCTGATGGCACCAGGGCATGGGGGACAGGCCTGGGTTTCCAAGCCTGTGGCCAAGGTGCCTTCTGCTTTCTGAAGGGCCCCTGTCCCAGCAACCCCAGCTCCCCAACCCTCCTGGCTGACCCTGCCTACAGAATCAGGCCCATGGGGCCATGTGGCTGTAAGCTCCTTGTCTTTTTTCTTTTTCTCTGAAGGGCAAAGCAATCTTGCGGGGCTGAGTGATGGACCTCCCCCACTGCTCCTGCTGCCATCTGAGACTAGGCTGGCTGCCTCGGCCTGGCTCCTGGGGGCCGGCTGAGCATGGTCTCATGCTCGCCTGCCTCACTCCCAACCTCACCACCAGACTGGGGTTTTCGGAAAACCAAGACACACAAACACACACCACTACAACAACACAAACCAAAGTGCACTGCAAACCGCCCTTTGGCCTCCTTCTTGTAGGTGCCTTGAAATTTCACTGTTGAGAAGAATGTGATTAACTACTTGGTCCTATTTTCTGTTGTCTGTTTTCATATAAAATGTCTAAGTCCACCTGCCTTGTCCTTTCTTGAAATAAATAGAAAGATTTAACTTTTACAGTTGTCTCAACTGCTGACTCTCGGCTCAGTGGCCCTGCACACCAGGGACCAGATATCTGTGGCTCATGCGGTCTCGGTTGTCCAGACCTTACCCCTGGGGTCAGCTCTGCTGTTGGGGTCCACTGGCACGGGGGTATTGGCCAAGCTAAGTGGACACTCTGGGGTTGGATGTTCCCTGGGGGCACGATGGGAACCATGTGGTGGTGCACACCTAAAATCCCAGCTACTCAAAGGCTAAGGCAGGAGAATTGCGAGTTTGAGCCCAGCCTGGACAACTTACTGAGACCCTGCCTTTTAAAATTTAAAAATGGCAACCTGGGCTACATAGAGAGTTCAAGGCTAGCCTGGACTACATAGCAAGATACTGTCTAGGAAAATAACAACAATAATAATAACAACAACAACAACAACAATAAAGGACGGGGAGCATTCTCAACCAGCATTCTCAAAGCCCTAGGTCCAATATCCAGTACCACAAGAAAAAAAAAAAGAAAGAAAGAAAGAACTGGATATGGTGGCACACGCCTGTAATCTCATCACTCTGGGAGGCTGGAGCAAGAGAACCATAAGTTAAAGCCCAGCCTGGGCAATTTAGCAACCTGGAGAGACCCTGTCTTGAAATTTTAAAAAAATTTAAAGGGATGGGGATATACTTCAGTGGAAAATCCCTGGGTTCAATCTTCAGTACTGGCTGATACCAGAGGTGTCTTAAACCAGCCATGCAGGGTGGACTGACAGCTAGATGCAGACTCAGAGGTCTCCACATGGAGATACATGAATAAAAGCTAAGGATTATCCTGAAAGAGGCTCTGGTGACCATATGGGTATCCAGATAAGGGAACCATCCAGGCATCTGGGAAGACGTGCTTATTCTGCTGCTCCAAAAAACATCTAGCTAGGATTGTCCCTTCTAGATGGCCCCCTGTCCACTGGACATGCCCTCTGCACTCACAACTCTCACAGCCTTATCTGTGTATCTCCTATCCCAAAAGGAGAAGAGAAAAAAAATTATTTCCCAAGAGAACAATAGCTATTTCTGCTAAATTTAACACACCAAAAAAGAACTCATTCCTTCCATCTGCTGGGGCAGGGCCCAACCATGACCACAAGAGGCCACTTCAAAGAGTAGCATGCTGAGTGACCAGGTGACCACTAGAGGAAAGAACAATTCTGTTTATCTGACTTCACCAAAGGGGAGGCTCAGGAGGGCTGCCTCATTCTTTCTCACCTCTGGGGCAGCCAAGGAATCTTTCTGGAACAAGGCCAGCCAATCAGGAGATGGTGGCTGATGATGTACTATGTGCTGGGGCAAGGAGGGTGCACTGTGGGAGAGGCCAGGCCTGGCATGGCAGGGGTCTCTGGGGAGCCAGGTCTGCATAGGGATGTTTCCCTAATGAGGACCCAGAGATCAGAGAGAGCCCTCCCTGCCAGCCCAGCCTCTGGCCACACTATAGGCCACATCCTATCTTTCTCAGCCTGGGTGACTCCCCCATAAAGCCTCTGGAAGGTTCGACTCAGGCCTTGCCTCAGAAAGTCCCACACATACCTCCCTGGCATTTCTCACTAGCTCCAGCACCCCATCCAGGACCTAGCAGGCAGCTCTCACCCTCACCCTCACAGTGCACGCCAGGCACACAGGATCCCACACACATGTGAAGAGCAAGTCAACAAACACAGGAGGGGACACTGGCCACCCACCCGCCCTGTTGATGGATATGGGGTACAAGGAGGACTTTTCAAGCATGACGGCTCTTGGTGATCCCAGAGTCCCAGCAATCATGCAGTCTTCTCTCCACCTCCCACAGGACAAGCCTGCCCCAGGACATCTCACCCTCCACACACCTGTGGTGATACCACAAACCTGGAGCTCCATGGAGCTCCCCAAGCCAAGGAAGAAGGGCTGGTTCCCACACTGTGTTCCTCAGCCCTGGAGCACATAGCGGTTCTGCCCAGAAGGTGTTCATCATCACCTGCCCTGGGTCATGTCGCTGTTCTCCTGGAGGACTTGTGGGGCAGGGCCTGGTGCCCCTCAGACTTAGGTTGGACCCACAGACTCCCCCACTTATCACCTGTTCCTCATTCCCCTGAACCTGTTTCCACCTCTGTAAGGCATGTCCCCATTGCTGCTGGAGAGCCACGTAGGTAATAGGTGGAGACCTGAGCACTCAGAAACCATCACTGCTACCACTTGTACCACTGAGATAGTGTCAAACTTGCCACCATGTACTGAGGGCTCCTAGAGTGGGTATGGAGGGTTGGGTTCCTGAGGGAGCACAGCCCTCCACACTGGCACACCCCGTTCTTGGTGGGTCCAGCATTCACAGGCCCCCTGGAATACAGCCAGATGATGGGCTGGCCAGTGTCTTCTGCAGGGAGGCCCAGGGATCAGAGCAGTGCAGTAAAGTCCCCCCAGGCCTGGCATAAAGGAGAGGCAAATATAAAGACCTGGGCCCACTCCCCAAACCACGCCAGTCACTCTTCACAGCCCGCTTTTCACAGCCTGCTGAAGGGGATCTGAGACTAGATGGAGCCTAACACATCAGGAAGACTGGGAATGGGGTGAGCATGCTAGAGTTTAGAAAAAACCCCAGCATGGAGGCCTGGCCAAGATGGTCCCACAGGAGGACCACGAGGACCCACGGGTGAGTTCTAGGACTGAGATCTCAGGTCAACAGAAGGAAGGACATCCAAAAGTACCTATCCTCTCCTGAAGAGAAGGGGGTCTGAGAAGCAGGACAGCAAGCAGAGCTGGTGGGCTCCCCAAGGAACTAAGTACTGGGCAGTACAGGGACTCGGACTCACTGACCCTGAAGGGACCTGCCATCTCCCTGTTTGTCATTAGGTGGATTCCAGGTGATGGACTATTCCCCTCCAATCCCTAGACCACACCCTGCTACAGCCCCTACCATGCCTCCGACAGCCAAGCAGAAGTCCCAGGACACGCTTATCACTGAAGGGCAGAGGTGGAGTGAGACCTCTGATGGCCAAGGGACACCCAAGGCCCAGAGCCCCTGCTTCATCAGACTGAGGACTAATGGTCTAGTCCAAATGGAGGAAAGAGTGGGTGACCATCTACTTTCCAAGAAGGGTATCCGGCTTCACTAAGCATCTTGGACATAAGGCATCCAAACTCAGCATGGGTCAATACCTCAAATCATAGCCCCTCATCTGAGTTCTGTAACTGATTCTTAGCATCTTCTTAGAAAGGTCCTGGCCAGATCCAAGGCCACCCAGCCAGCCCTGAAATCCTGAGTTGGGAGGTCTGGGTGGCATTGACTTGTCCATTTTCAGGCACCGAAGATAAGGCTAGATCCCCGGGCCACAGACCAGCTGTTTTCCCTGCCATCCTCCACCCACGTCATCTTCCAACGCTGACCCAGCCACCTCCTTGCCAGCCCCCATGTCCGACTCCTCTGAAGGACCCTCTCTTCCTACAGCAAAGTAAACAGGCTCTCTTGAGCGCTGACTGACAGTGCAGATGAAACCCCATACTCCCCCCTCGCAGATTTTCAGGGGAAGTGAAATCTTATTTGCACTGCTGCCAAGCCTGGGCTGAGATGAAATTATGCCTCGAGAAGAGACCTGGCCGCTCCTCGAAGAAGCGGCTGCATCCAAGATGGGCTTATTAAAAGCCACAGTGGCCACATTTCAACCTGTTTCAGGTGTTAAGTAATTTACTGTCACCCAGAATTCAGTGGCAGGTTTTTATCATTTTTATTTCCCTGTTGCAGACAAATGTCCCAGAGGTCCTGGGGGGAGGTTGGGCCACGGTGGTAGCAGACGGCCCAGCCCTCCCCAGGCTTACACCAGGCCTGGCCCAAGTGATGGGGAGGACAGGATCTAAAACTCTCACTCCACCCACAATTTTGGGGGTCCCAATAATCCCCAAAAGACTTTGGGACATTTTCTGAAGGCAGCAGGAGCATCAGCTCTAGACAGCAGAGACTCTGGTCTCAGGACCTGACCAACAGCCACACTATCAATAAGTCTTTACTGAGGGGTGGGGCTGCAGCTCAGTGTGAAGGACCCAGGTTTCATCCCTAGTACTACAGAAAGAGAGAGCGAGAGAGAGGAAGGAAAGGAAGAAAGGAAGGAAGAGAGATCTTTTAAAATCTTCATTGACTAAGTCAGGAGCAGTTTGAGGCCAGTTTGGACTACATAGCAACTTTGAAGCCAACCTGGACTATCTAGCATCTGCTAAAATCATAAAACAAAAAATCTTCATGAGCCAGGAGCATGCTTGTCATCCCAGCTACTCAGGACACTGAGGCAGGAGGATCACAAGTTTGAGCCCAGCCTGGGCAACTTAATGAGACGCTGTCTCAAAATAAAAACCAAAACAAAACAAAAAATAAAAATAAAAAAATAAACCAAAACAAAGGGCTAAGGGATGTAGCTCAGCAGTTTCACCACCTGCTGCACAAGCACAAGGACCCGAGTTCGAATCCCCAGTATCAAAAAAAAACACCCCAAAACAAAGGGCTGGGGATGTAGCTCAGTGGTAGAGCACTTATCTAACATGTGCAAGACCCTAGGTCCACCCCCAGCACTACAGAAAAAAAAATGATAATAATTTTTAAAATTAAGTCTTGCTGGGCATGATGGCACACACCTATAGACCCAGCACTCAGGAGGCTGAGGCAGGAGGATCACTGCATGTTCGAGGCCAGCCTGGGCTATGTAGTGAGTTCAAGGCCATCCTGAACTGTGTAATAAGACCCTGTCTCAAAACATAAATAAATTAAATTAAAATTAAGTCTTTTTTTTTTTTGGTACCGGGGGTCAAACTTGGGACCTCGCACCTGGGAGGCAGGCAGCGGCACCACTGAGCCAAATCCCTGGCCCATAAAATTAAGTCTTTATTGAGCAACTGCTATGTGCCAGCCTTTCTCAGGTAGGGAACACAGCAGCCAAGAGGACTCTATGATCCCTGCCCCATGGAACTCACATTTCACCAGTAAGTCCAGTAAGTGTTGGCTACTCAAAGTCTCTGAGACA